GTTGATGATATAAACCCTGCATTACCTTAAGGACCCTAAACTATGGGAATTATGGTATATCCTTATTATGGGTAATGCAGGATTTATATCATCAACCGTAGTCAGTGTCCCGAAACCCCAGCGGAGAGTTGAAGAAGCTGAGGCGCGTGCCGCTGCTGTGGATGCCATGGTGGCTGTAGCGAAGCCACAAGGTCAAGGATTTAGAGCTCAGGGCTATAGGGTTTCAGGGCTTCAGGGTTATAGGTGTTGGGTTACCGTTTAGGGCTTTCAGGTTTCAGGGTTTAGTGTCAGAGTTGCTTCGACAGGATTTTCGCTGAAGGTTCCGAAGAGCCCAAACGCTCGGAATGATAGTATTTCTAGTTCCAACAACTTCGATACGAGCTTTTTGTTTTGTGCGTGTGTGTGTGTGTGTCTTGCGGTGCGCCACCCAAAACCTTAAGTCCTAACCCGTAAACCATAAGCCCAAAACTCTTTCAATAACAAACCTTTAGCTTCTTGCGGCAGACACATTTCAGAGTTTCTCCTTTGGGTACGGCCCCCACTCAGTACTAGTTGAAGGATATTCATAATCTAGATATAGTAGGACCTTAATAGTAGCCCTAATATAGACTCTTACTGTATGGGGGGCATTACTCAAGTTTCTCTCGCTGTTGCAGAGCTCCATGCCATGGGCTCGGGATTTCGCAAGGTGGCTTGGGATTTAGGCTCCGTTTCCGTAAGGGTCCAGAGGACCCAATAATACTTAGCTACTCAGATTTCGGATAGTAGTTATCTAAGCTACTATTTGGGAGAGTACATGACTATTAGGTACTTGGACCCTTAAAGGAACCCTATCACCACAAAGGAACCCTTAAGGGAACCCTGAAACCCCTTTAAAGAACCCTTCAGGCCTGCATTATTAGGTAATTCGGTTCATGATATAAATCCTGCATTACCTTAAGGACCCTAAACTATGGGAATTATGGTATGTTCCTTATTATGGGTGATGCAGGATTTATATCATCAACCGTTGGACCCTTAGAGTTTGGGCTTTGGGTTTGATACGACCAAATAACCTATCTTTTTTTAAGGACGTAAATTAGGAAGTCATAACAAGGAACCCTAAAAAGGTAGGTACTTTAGGGTCCGGGTAAGCCCTACACCCTCTTTGGGAAATTGGCAGGTGACGAGGAAGCCATGCGTCTCGCCGCGAGCATGCTCGCTGGGCCCATCACTAAGCCCCTGTCCGCCGGGAGCTGCTCGTGGGTTGTCGGTTTAGGGTTTTAGGGTTTGCTTCTTAGGGGTCCTTCAAGGGGTGGAGGGCGTGATCGTTGAAGGGTTGAGGGTTTCCGGGCTTAGGGTTTAGGGTTTAAGGTTCCGTGAACGCCCATCTAAAGCATGACTGTTGCAGGCTTCAGCAACCATCTGGTAGTCAGAGTTTGACTGGTTCATCGGTTCGGATCGAGGAGACTGGTCGAAGAACAACTTGGTGCTTGGGCTCTGGGGAGTTGAGGATTTGGCGTTGGGGTTCAGGGGATCAGTATCGTCGTCATCAGCAGTCGTGACATCATCTGTGACCGGCAGTTCAGACAGAAGGAGGTTTCAAATTACATTCATGAAAGATATGGATCAGTCGAGGCTTGTAGATTGGCAATTCCTTTCAAGCCAACTGCCTATACGTTGGTTTACTAGGTGATGGTTCCCGTCATGTTGATGCAGGTTTTAAGAACCTCTGACCCACTATATAAGAGAAGCTGTGATGGTCTTCTATCGGTTGGGTGTTTTGAAACCCTGAAGCCCCTAAAGCCTAACCCCGCAGAGACCACGGGATCTGGTTTCGCACCCCTCAGCCTAAACCCTAGGCCCTAGACACTAAATCCTCAGCCTGCATGCATCAACTGCACTGCTCAAGTTTATGTTTCAGGTCTAGGGCTTCGGGGGGGGGGGGGGGGGTTCGGGTTAGGGTCTAGGGTTTAGGGTCAGGGTTTAGGGTTTGGGGTTTGGTGTTAGGGTTTAGGGTTAGTGTTCCGAACGTGTAGTGTTCAAGTGTATGTTGCAGGTTTCAGGACCCATAAACTCACAACGTCTCAGACAGAGGACTACAGGCCATTAGATCTGAAAGGTCTGGAAGTTGACGCCGCCCGCTCCGCGCGATTCAGAAGAACGGTTCATTGGGGGGAGCAGGACAAGCATAGCGCGACATGCAGCACGACACTGAGCTCCCAACTCGTAATCCGAATAGCCCCCAAGCCCTCAGCCCTAAGCCCAAAGCCACAAAAACGTTGAGCCCTGGACTTTCCACTCCTTCAATGTATGGCCCACGACGCAAGCATCATTCGAAGAGTGTCCAGAATGCCCTTGCTACTGCCCGTCTTGGGGCTTAAGTCAGGGCTTAATTACGGCCCTCCTAAACCATAAACCCTATAAGGCCCTAAGCCCATTCACCAACCGCAGCCACCAGCCCCTCGTTACATGCAAAGCCCGTGCGACACACTTGAAGATTCCTCCTGTGCCGATAGCATCGGGAAGAAAGGCAGAGCAAAGCGGCGACCTCGATGGGTCAGTGGGTTGAGTTGAGGTCCTTAACCCTAAACTCCAAAGTTTAACCCTCGAATCCTGAATTGTGGATGTCAAACGCCCGTCCTGTAAATCCTGAATCTTTCACCCTGCTTCCTAAACCCTAAAGCCTAAACCCTAACCCGTTCAAGTCTCCCACAAGCCAGCAAGGTTCAGGATTGGGTTGTCTGCGTATGCAGGCCCTCATGCCTAGCCAGGAAGACGTTTCACAAGCCAGCAGAACTGCATAAAGCAGGTGGTCTAACTCAGCGATCACAAGTACGGGTCTAGTGTGGCGTAACGTGAGAATCCTATGCGACTGAAACCCTAAACCCAAAACCCTGAACCCTATCCCTAAGGCTCGTCTAAGGACTCATATATTAAGGCTTTTGGGCCTAAAGATCATATTATATAAGGCTTTTGTGCCATTTTGAGCCTTAGGGTATTCAGGCCCCTACATGATGTGCTAAACCCCAAAGCCTCTTGGAGCGCCGCCAGGCTCCAATCTAGGGGCCTTAGATAGTTAGTATAGGCTTTGGGGCCTGTTTTTTTTGTGTCTTCTTAATAGTTCGAATAGGGTTTAGGGCCCCCCTTTAGAGTCTATTCGTATTAAGGAGCCCTAAGGAATAATGTCAGTAGTTATTTAGGCTTCTATGTCACAACCCCAACTCTTCACCCCACCTCCCTTAGCAGCTAGGCCCCGATAGCTTAAGCCCAACTCAGAAGTCGGAAGCCCGACCGTGATACTTACCCTAAGGCTCCACGGACTCATGTTCAAGGCCTTTGGGCCTAAAGACCATATTAAATCAGGCTTTTGGGCCATTTCGAGCCTTAGGGCTAGCTCTGAATCTCATGTCGTTTATGTTTACTATGAAACAGAGGTATTAATGCCGTTATTGCTATTGGTATTATTATGGGTTACTATCCTTCACGAATATGGATTACTTCCACCTCCGATTCCCAACCTTAAAACTGTCTGAATTCGTAGTTCAAGCAGTAATTTGAAAGTTTAAGCTGTTATTTCCGGACTTTTTTGCGAAACTACCATATTTTTTTGTAGGTTCTTGTTATGAACCCGAACATGGAACATATGGGGCCCTACAAACAAAGTAGGTTTTGGATAGGGGCCCAAAGAGCACATAAGCATAAGCATTTTATCGGGATCTCCCTACCTTATTGGGGTTCTTTATAAGGGGGTTTATATGGGATATCCCTATCCTAATTTTTGCTTGTGTTCTTTTTTGGGGCACTATTTGGTAGCTTAAGGTAAGGAGGCGCCGAAGAGAAGGCTCCGGGATACCCGGCTTCGCCGGCTTTAGGTGTAGTTGATGTCCTTGCTCCCTTATTTCTCCACTACCAAACCCTCAAACTCAGGCCTCATGAGGTTTAGGGCTCAAGTGAATGTTCCTTGGACGTACTGGGGAAGAGAGCTATCTCCGTTTTTAACGCAAGTAATAACATGTCTGTAAGTTGATGAATGTCTCGTTTCGGGTCCTGATTATAAGTACTCTGCCGGCTCGAGCAGGTGCCCCCACTAGACTCCCCCTAACCCTAAATGCCCTGAGCCTTGAACCTAGATCCATCTTGAAAACCCCCGAACGGAGCTCCATATTATGTCCACGTATTTTGGGTTTCAGAGTCCACAAGCAGCTGAGCCCTCACAAAGGTTCTCTCCCCTCTATCGCTGACCTTTGTGGGATGCGGATCAGATGCCTCCTCTGTGCTCTTGCTGCAGTACAGCATCACAGTCCATGGTCCTGCCTATACGATCACGATCCAATAAGCCTATAAAACCTAGGCCCCAACCCCCCAGGCTAGAATTTGGAGTCGCTCTCGTCCTTTAGGGTTTGGGTCTTTGGTTGGAGCTTGTGAGCTTGGATGGGGACTAAGGACTATAAGGGTTTAGGGTTTAGGGCATAAGAACTGTAGGAATGGGTACGAGGGGTTGGTATGAACAGCCCTAGAATCGCTTCGGGGTGCAGGCCGAAAGGAGTTTCGTGGTTGAGCCGGATTTCGGTGTCCGAGAAGATCTACGGCTTCAAAAAGGGGGGGGGGGGCTTCGGATGTAATCCGATTAAAGTATGCCCTACACCCTCAGATATAGGCTTTTCGGTGAAGGACCAGATTGGGTATAGGGCTTTCACGGTTTTGGGGTGAATTTCAGAATAAACACAATAGTTACGAGCCGCCACAAAGGCCGTTGGGATTTTTCAGCTCTGCTGTTGCTAAGAGTCTGATGCTCTTTCGTCTCGAAGAGCTGTCAGGCAGATTCCACGCCCCGTAAGGCTTTAACACGGGGGCCTGTATGAATATTATGAATACCTCAGAGTCCGTATATACGGTAGTATACCTCGCAAGCCCTGTTCAAGTTATCACGGCCCCTATTGTTCAGAATGTCAGCACTTCTGTTCAGTGTTCCTGATTTCCCGCGCGCTTGTCAAGGCGCTCTAGCTTGGGCATGCCTCATGGCACGAGTAGCCGATTCCGCCTACGCTGGCGAGGCCGTCATTATCGTGTCGCAGGATGCTAGGATGTCGGGTTGTGGGATTGGAGCTGGGGATTGCAATTTTTGTTGAGAAGCCAAAGAATCCTATATTGGAAGTGTAGCTTTAAATCTCTCCTTATTGAGGACTTCTGCGTATTCTGCAAGATCTTGCCCATCAACAGTAGGTTTCCTGGATCGAGGGGTTGAAACCTTGGTTGAGGCTTGAGCTAAACTCTTAAATTTAAAACTCTCTACACAGACTCTAAGACTCTAAGCTCAGCCCGAAACATGAACAGCCGAAGCGCACGAAGCCCGACCCCTAACAGCGTAAAGCCCTACACCCCCCAAATTTTACACCCTAAATCAATCGCCCTAAGCTCCCTCAACCCTAAAACCCTAGACCCCAAACCCTACAAACCCTCAAGCCCCTGGCGCCCCTATTTAAATAATTGCCAATACCATTTTCCCAAACCCTATTCTAATTCTTAAGGCCCTTGTAACATGAAACCCTTGTGGATGCCTTATAGTTGGCCTTGTAAACTCCTTCAAAGAAACCCTGGTGAAATTGTTAAGGCCCCCTTTTTTTATAAATCCTAAAGCGAGACAGGTCCTCGTCGGGGGTGCCGAGCCCCTGGCTGGGCCGATGGGAGTGGCGCTGGCACCCGACGGCGGGCTCATCGTGGTGGATACCGAACCCTGGCTTAGGGTTCGGTAGGTCTTCTTTCCAAGGTTCGTAGGGCTTCGGGCTTGGGGTTCAGGGCTTCGGGCTCAGGGTTTAGGGCTTAGGGTTTAGGACTTCGGGCTTAGGGGTTAGGTCTTCGGGCTAAGGTTCGGTAGGGCTTCGGGCTCAGTGTTCAGGGTTTGGGGTTTAGGGCCGAGGGTTTGGGCTTTAGGTGATACCGAGCCCTGTGCTGCAAAGCTTGCGGCCTCCGGGTGCTGTGGTTTAATATAGTGGCTTAAACAGTTACCTATACTACTGTTGATGATATAAATCCTGCATTACCTTAAAGACCCTAAACTATGGGAGTTACGGTATATTCCTTATTATGGGTAATGCAGGATTTATATCATCAACCGTATTTGTTTGGGGGGGGTTCCTTATGGTAATGATAGTATAATATACCCCCCCAAACACTAGTCCAATTATTGCGGCCGCTATCTTAGGGTTTGACAAGGGCCCGGCAGGTGGAGGGGGGTTTAGGCTTTGATTTATGATACCACGACTACTGCTACTGCTGCGCGGCCAGAGCAGTTGATCACGAGATTTAGGATCCGCCTCCTTGACCCCTACTTCAAGGAGTATGGGACTGAGAAACTAGGGTGATACATCAAGTTAACTGTTCTTCGGATGGCATACTTATATCACCAATTCAAGTACTTATATCCTTACATACAAAGTCCCATGATCCTCAAGCCAACTCACAGCCTCAAACCCACCTTAAACCCTAAACCCACCTTAACACCTAAACGGTGCACCTTGTTCCATCGCCCACATGGACCTTGCGGTTTCTGAAGTTTCCGGTGCATAAGTTCGAGATTTGCAAGATGTGGGTTGAGAGACACCTCGGTGTACTATAGAAGCCAAGATACTTGCCGACATTATTCCTGAGAGTTCCTTATTATGTTTTCTCAGGGGCCCTAATTCCCAAAGCGTCCTAGGTACTGTTATGGGGGAAACTTCCCCAAATCATAATAGCAGTTCCTAATACAGAAACCTTGCATTCTACTATAAAGGTACTTTGGACCCTTGGGTTAGAGCTCATGATACCACCGTGTACCGCGCTTCCAAGGACCAGAATCGCATCTTGAAATGTCCGAACTGGCAGCTACAGGCTCTGTCGTAGGGTTTAGATTTAGGGTTTACGGTTTACCGTAAACCTCATAAAGTTGGAAGCCGCATTAAGGCCAAATAGTGCTGGGATCCACCTTCCATTATTACTCTTAAGGATTAAGGCTATTTGTTTTCCAACTTTTGGGCTTCTACTGTAGGGTTTAAGGTTTGGGTGTTTGGGCTTTCGAGTCCCTCAAACCCAGGACCCTTGCCCCCCACCCCTCCCGAAACTGAGTTTGGCGTTTGGGGTTTTCAGAGTTGAGCTTAGGGTTTCATTCGGGACCCTTCAGCTCGTATTACCGTATAGTACCACTAGGGCGGTTGTCAACATTCTGGTCCCTTTTGGGGTCCCTAAAATAGTACGGCACTTATTTTCTAAGGTACCAAAAAAAAGGTCATAATTTTGACAGCCACCCACTAACTTAACCTTTCTTTGAATCCTGTACTAAAGTGCCCTTAAAGGCACCCTTCACAAAACAAATTCTGAAAGGAGCCCTTGCATCAAAGGGGATCCTTGCTTTGGGACCCGCAAAAGTAAATAAGCAGTCCCTTATCGTGGCTTACACTATGCACCATCACGCTATTCCGATAAATCAAGGCCTCCAAACCCAGAGGGTCCAAGTACCCAAAAAGTATGGTTTTAGGCCCAAAATCCATACTCTGAGCAGTTTTTGGACCTTGAAACCCTACTATTTGGGTACTTGGGCCCTTAGGGAAATTGATCCGAAGTTTTTCGGAGGGCTTCCAGCAAGCGGCCTGCGCACTCCTGGCTGGTGGAAGCAGCAGTGGCTTCGAGGTAGACCTCGGCTGTCTTGGGATTCTTTAAGGCTTCTGCACGGCTTCATTATGGGGGTTCTTTAAGGTTTCTATTCGGGTTTGCGCTGAAAGGGGATTCGAGCTTATGGACCCATTTGAGAGTTTGGGAATTTACGGTTCAGGTTCGGGGTTTCGTCCTGATTCGGGTTAGAGTTGAGAGTTCGGACGTAGGATCGAAGGTTGTGGGCTTATGGGGCCGAGGGATTACGGATTACGGCTGAAGGTTCCGGATTCATAGGGCGGCGATACCCTAAACCCTACACCGCGCTGAGCGCTACTCAGGTGCAGGGATGGGGTTCCCTGAGGGATTGGGATGCAAGGTTCAGAGATCAGCGATCAGGGTTGAGGTCTCGTGGCTTGGGTGGCTACTATAGGGGCCTAAATAATTACCAATAATTACTATTTTGGGTGGTACGCCAAAATTCTATTGTAGTTAAGAAGGCCCCTACATTATTAGGATTCAGCCGCTTACTTGCGAAATTTGTGCTGCTCATGGCGGCTGTGGTTTAGTTGTGCTGGCTTCTCGATGTCCCTTCTGTATTGTCATTGAAATTTCTGTTGCACTGTCGCCAAGTGGTGAGCTGGGCTCGCTTTTCGCTGCTACTCACCCGCACACTCCTGATGACGATTCTATCGCTGCTTCTGTGTTGTTTGTGCAAGATTGCAATCATCAGTACTCGCTTGTGGCGTGCATGCTTAGACTTTTTTCAGGATGTCCATATGTCAGAACATGTGCGGAGTAGGACTGCAATTGCAATCGCGGCCTGTCAGTGTCGTGCTGTTCGTATGCAGATACTGTAGGGGTCGGGATACACTGTAGGGGTCGGAAAAACTGTTCGTATAGCAGTCTCTTGCCGCGAACGACAGCTTCAACCACGCACCCAGGCATCACGACAGCAATGGCCAGAACACGCATAAGTTGCGGGCCTTATCTGTAGAATAGGCTATACTTGCGACTTATGTGTCATGCTTCGTTGTTATCATGATGGTACCATAGTATGACAAGGCGGCGAAGCCAGGTCTGCATTTTATGATCGCCTTCGTTTCAGGTATAACTGTGCCAGAACTTGGAGACTTGGAAGTAGGCTGAAGTTGGATAGCTTCCTCAGAACTTACAACCTGTGTACTCACTAAGTCCCATGCTCCCTCAAGTAAACCCAAAACTCTCAAAACCCTCAGCCCTGAACGCCCTAGACCTGAAAACATCGGACGGGCCGTACTGAAACCCGAGACACTAGCAACCCCCAAAGCACTAAACAAGGCGCTAAGCCAAGCCTCGAGAATAGAATTTCGAAACCCGGAACCCCTGATCCCGATTTAGATTTCTTCTAGCAACTTAGTAACGCTTGTAAGAAGCCTTGAGGGTCACTTGTACTAAACTCTCGCAGTCACCCTGAAAGGAACCCTTATAGAACCTCTCTATCAAGTCTTACCTTCGTCCAAAACCTCTCCTATCGGATCGTGCAGGCCGATAGGCTACGTACGCCGTACACGGCGCTTCCGGCGCAAGTTGTAGGCCAGGGCCGGTAGTAAGATGCTTCCCTAAGGCTCCATGTACCCTTATAGTAGATACTTAGGCCTTAAAGTACCTATATAGGGACCGCTTTAAGGCTTAAGTATCTACTATAAGGGTACATGGAGCCTTTGGGCTTATGCTTGTGTCAGTTTGGGGGCCTCTAGTATGCTGGGAGGAGGGTTGATGGCTTATATGGAATTGAGGAGGTTAGGGGTTTGGGGTTGGCCTTGAAGAGCCCATAACAATAGAACCGAGCCTTAAGGAACCCCTAATCGAACCCTTGAGTGACCTCCGACAAGAAACCTCAAGCCCTACCTACTACTTGGGCACCTGGACCTACCCTAATTGGAGTTATCCGAAGTATACCCGAAGTACAACTCTACTTCTAACCGACTTACTACGTACCCTGTGCCTCCAGGTAGTCTTCCGGCTGATTGCTTTTTGGTTCCTTTAGGGGTCCTTCTTACTTCTTGCAAAGCAACTTACTTGACGTTGGATGTTTTTAGGGTTTAGGGTCTGGAGGATCAAGACTAAGCTCCAATCTAGCAGTCTTATTCCAGCCTTCCGATATGTACAAGTCTGCATCGAACTAGTCGACTTAAATTGAAACTTTCAACGCCCAGCCTAGGTAGTTTAAGGTGGACCCTAGATGTAGGGCAAAGGCTTACTAAATGAGCGTTCGCCGGACTTGGCAGCTTAGCACCTGCCACTCTGAATGTTTACCCTAAGGCTCAAAACGGCCCAAAAGCCTTATGTAATCAGGTCTTTAGGCCCAAAAGCCTTAAAATATGAGTCCTTAGAGCCTTAGTGTGGAGATCTAGGGTTTAGGGGTCTAGGATTTAGAGTTTGCAGGGTTTGGGGTACCTTTTTTGCCGATGTGGGGAGGTATCCAGTGAGAGACCGGTACCCAAGGCCCTTCATACGCCCCTGAGCCCCAAACCCGCACCCTAAACCCGGTAAATTATAAGGTATCCTACCCTGAAACCATATTCCAACTTTCTGGAGTTCCCTTTAAAGCAGAAAGCCCGCCCAAACCCAAGAACTTGGGTCCTGAGCTCGCAGAGTAGCACTAGGAAGTTTGAAAGGATTGAGACACAGGTAGTCTGCTGTTGTCGTGGTCTAGGGAATGGTGAACCCTAAACCCGTACGGCTTGTATCCTAAACCCATAAATACCCAGAATCCTTGAACCCTAAACCCTTATACCCTAAACCGATAAACCTTGACCCTATTCCCTACTTGGAGGCCCAGGGGGCTTAGTAAGTCGGCTATAAATAGGGTTCTAATTGGGGTAACTCCATCTAGGGTACTTGTAACTTCTACTTAGAACCTACTTACTAAGTCCCCTGGGCTTCAATAAATCCTCACCCCCCCTTTCAGAACCCTAATCGATCCCTTTTAAGGAGCCTTTTAAGGAGCCTTACTCCTTACTACGTGCCCTGGGCCTCTAAGTAATTCCTCTCGCAGGTGAGACCTTCGGTCTCGTCGTCGCGGACACGCACAACCACCGAATTCAGTCGGGTCCTCGGTGCCCTTCTGTTTAGGCTTTAGGCTTTAGAGCTTAGGGTTCAAGGTTTAGAGTTTAGGGTTTAGGGTCTAGGGCTTCGTCTCGCCTTCAGGGGCTACAACCTAAAGAGTGCAGGAGACGAAAGGTAGGGTGTAGGGCTCAAGCACTGTACTCCGAATGGATTTGGGTGCCCAAAGCCCTGGTTGTTCGTAAGGGATCTACAGCGTCTTACGAACCCTCTCTGCAACGGCTTCAGGTTTGTTTAGGCCTTGGCCTTCGGGTTGATGATAAGTAGAGGGGCCTTGATACTTACCTATACGTTTTGTTTTTTTTTCGGGGGGGGGGGGGGGTTGTCCTTATTAATTATATTATAGTATATATTATAGGCCCCCCAAACCTAAACCTATTCTGATGATTAAGGCCCCTATGATTATGAACGTCCATGGGCCGGGGTTCTGTTTTGGAGCACGGGTTTGCATCCACCGGGTTCTTTGAGGAACCGAACACACTAGCACTGGGAGTAGCAAGTGTCGCCGCACGTGTATGGAGTGATAGTCGTGTATATATATATATATATATATATATATGTATATACGTATATCATATCATAAACATATACATACTAACCCTGGAAGAAGGTTCGTATTCACTGCGCACGTCATCCATTCCCTCAGCTCTATAAATCCTAAAGCCCTGAACCATGTCCCCGGTATGACCCACAAACCATTCGAGCCCTGCCCTAAACCTCAAATGCCTGAGCCAGAATCCGCAAACCCTCTAGACCCAGAGCCCGAAATTTATCTCAGAACCGTTCACCGAGGTATTGGCCCGCAGGCGCTACCCAGGGGTACACTCTCGTGGGGGGGCCGGGCGTTGGTGCGCCGGGCTACACAGGGCCTGGTGAGCTGCTTGACAGAGAACTTACCTTTGTAGGGAATGGAGGAATGGGGTACAATTAGAACTACTATTGCTACCATTCTTCCATTCCCCACTAATCAAAGGTAAGAGAAGCTTGGGTTTGGGATGTTTGGGATTTAGTTCTAGTGTTAAGGGTTTAGGCTCCTGGCTTAGGGTTCAGGGTTCGGGGTGCTTGGTGTAGGGCTTCAGGCTTATAGGGGTTAAAGTTTAGGGTTCGGGGCTTGAGGTCGGATCTGAGGCCGTTCTTCGCTGAGATAAGCCAAATCCCCCAGGATCAATTGACTGCCCTTATAGTTTTGGGTTTGAGGTTTAGGTGGGAGGAATCAGTCTTTTTGTTCGTGGGGTCTCCTTACACAGCTGAAGATTAGGACAAGGGTGCTCTTAGTTATGTTGCGTCAATGGAGAATCTAGTATGTGTAGGAAGGTGTCAGCGCTGGAGTGGTTTTTGCCTATGGAGCCCACAGGTGTGCTGTTGAGCCGGAATGGAGGAGGTTGGTGACAGGTCTTCCCAATGGACTTCAGTTATGTTGCGTTATCTGTCTGTCTCTCTAGAGTATCTTAACCTTTCAATATGTTACCCAACACACTACAGTGTAGGTTCAGGCTTCGAGGTTCAGAATACGTTATGCTTGTGGGCTTCAAGTTGAAAATTTCCTCTCCCATCATGAGGCTTGGGCCACACCTATTTGTACAACGAGTTTTCTGATTGTGGTACAACAAAGTATGAATATGACCCTAAACCTTAATTAGAGGGCCGTTAAGGGCGGCCCAGGTGGAGGATGTTGTCTCATCAGCTGTTGTGGACACCTGTGTCAGCTTGTAGCAACGACGACATCGTGTCCATGCAGATGCGCAGCACAGCGGAGCCAGAAGGATACGCGAAACAGCATGAGGCTCTGACATCACATGCTGCACCGGCAGATGTTGCAAGGATCTGCCTTATCTTAAAGCCCCAGCTCAGGCTCCAGTTTCCAGCTGGCATCGCGCTGGATGAGGTCGGACAAATTTGTGATTCTCTACAATTTCGGCTTGCATGCTTTATGACAATTGTTGCAGTGGCTTTACCGATAATTATTTCCACCGATGTGTTGATCATCCCCCAATAACAAAACAAACGCACACAAACACACACTCCTCCCGGGAAATCCCCCCTGAATTCATCCCCGCCTTTTAAAACCCGTTTGGAGCATTGGGGGGTGTAAGAGCAAGAGCAAGAGCAGAAGCAAGAGTAGGAGCAGGAGCAAGAACGGGAGCAAGAGCAAAAGCATAAGCAGGAACAGCAAGAGCAAAATTTCTACAATTGCCTTGCCTTGCAGTCTACTTCAAAGTTCTATTCTGATAGTTACGGCCCTTATCATAACGGGATGCTACATCACCCCGCAGCCCCTCAAAAAGTGCCTTAAACCCCAAGCCCTCCGCTTGAAAATAGAGGCCTTAATCCCAAGCCAGACCCTCAACCTCTAAAGCCCTAACCGAAACGGAGCCCACAACCCCTACAGTAGAAGCCAGAAAGTTGGAACATCATTATCCTCATGGCCTTAGAGGTAAGGTATAGGGGATCCCAGCACTAGTCATCCTAAATCCATGTTCCAACTTTCGGGGGTTCACTACTTAAAGGCTCACGGGACTCAGTAAGTAAGGTTATAAGTAAGTTATTATTAGGATAACCCCACTTAGGGGACTTATAACCCCAATTATAACCTACTTACTAAGTCCACCTCCTGAGCCTTCAGCCCCAAGTGTAACACCCTAAGGGTCCATGTACCCAAATAGCATATACTTTGGGCCCAATGTACCCATATAGGGAGTACTTTAAGGCCAAAGTATATACTATTTGGGCACGTGGACCCTTAGGGACAGCTTTTGCCTTGGACTCTCATCAGTGAAAGAGGCCGTTGGCCTTGAGTTGTCGACACTCGGAACCAAAACTTCCAAGCCCAAACCCTAAAACCCTAAACCCTAAAACCCTAAGCCCTAAAACCCCAAAACCCTAAAACCCAAAAACCCTAAAACCCTAAACCCTAAAACCCTAAACCCCACACCCAAGCCCTGTGAACCCGAAGCCGCGGAGCCCTTCGAGCCAAAATTCAGCCTCCGGTGTACCTGTCCCCATAACACCGGAGTTTCCGAAAGTCTTATTGGCTGTAAACTCAACTTTTCAACTTTCGGGATCCTTATATGGTAGTCGATTCTGAAAGTTTCAACTTTTATTCCCTTGGGTTTTGCGCCAGCGAGAAATTAGGGGGTACCTTAGGGCTCCTTGAAAAGGGATACTATAAGCGTATTAAAAGTATTCCTTTGAACGGTTCTATAAAGGCTTATAGGGTTTCCGAAAATTAGGGGTACCTTACTTTGAGGTCCTTATAGTAAGGACCCTATCACTTAGGGTACTATATTGCGGTCCCCGATTTTCGGAAACTCCTATATAAGCCCGTGGAGCTTAGACCTCGAAGCCCGAGCCCCACCGCGAGGATGCCGGTTACCTCTACGTCTCCGACACCGGGCACCACCGGGTCGTGTTCCTTGGTTTGGGCCAGTGTGAGTGGGACGGACGTCGCGAGTATGAAGGGTCTGGTCTAGTGTGTAGTACGTGGGGGGTAATTAGGCCTGAGTATACAGGGTTGCGCATGGGGCGTTTAGCAACTTGGGAGGTCTGTCTTTTTAGGATTTTCAGATTCCCCGGATTCCCCTAGATACGTAAACCGCTAAATCCTGCTAAACTCAGCTCAAGTGAGTCCCCCAACCCACCCCACACAGACCCTGGCTTGCAACTTGTTTGAGGCCCTCTGCCTTAACCCTGAGCCCTAAACTCCTAGGATCTTCCAAAAATAGATCTTGCAAAATACCCTAAACCCTGAACCCCTAAACCCTAAACCTTGAGCCCTAAATCCTTAAACCCTAAACCCCTAAACCCTAAACCCTATAAACCTTGAGCCTAGAGCTGCCTCTTTGAATCGGACGTCCTTTGTAGACTCGGTGTAGAGGACCTCCCGTCTCTGAGGCGCTACACCCTCGATGCGAACATGCGGCTTGGCATCCCTAAACGCTGCAGGGTTTAGGGTTTAGGGTTTCTAGGGTTTAGGGTTTTTAGGGTTTTTAGGGTTTAGGGTTTAGGGTTTTTAGGGTTTAGGGTTTAGGGTTTTTAGGGTTTAGGGTGTAACACTTACCTTTGGTTAGTAGGGAATGAAAGGGGCCTTATAAAGGGGTCTATGAGGGTTACCATAAGGGATCTATAAGGGTACTATAAATTAGGGGCCTTAATCATCTGATAGCTTACCTTTGGTTGGTAGGGCATGGAGGAATGGTAGTAATCGTAGTTTTACTTGTACCCCATTCCTCCATTCCCTACTAACCACAAAAGTAAGAACACCGGCTTCCCTAAACCGTAAAACTCCTATAAGCCCTAATCCCCGAAACACCAAACCCCAAACCCCTCATCCCCTCAACTCCCAAGCTCCGAATCTCTAGCCGCAGACAGTGAACCCCTACACCCATAAACTTTTAAACCCTCTGCTTGTTGCTGGTGTGGACCTGGAGATGTGGATTCTGGGTTGACTGCACGGTGTGGTAGCTTCTGCGTTTCCTGTCTTTGAATTGAGTTCCCACGCCTTAGTTTACTGTTGACTAACAAGCTCATATTCGCTGCTCATGAACATTTGACCTGGTATTTCCTTGGATTATTGAGGAAGTGAGGTTCTTACTTGCACAGGCATCAGTGCCACAGCGAGGATTTCCTAGCTCCCACGTCACGTTGGCTTGCCGACATTAAGGGACTAGGCAGCCCTACCGAACCTTGTAAGCAAAAGCCGCGGTGGCTATTCAACCCTCAAGAGCTGCCCTCACCCCCGTGACGCTGACGGAACCATGCACGTGCCACGCGAGGCAAGTAGTGGGGGCCGGCGTCACTGCAGACGCCTCAGCTGTCGGAAGAAGTGGTACTATACTGTTCCTCTTTCTACCTTTACTCCAGAGGTTTGCACGAGTACGAGCAGCATAAGACTGAAGTCCAACTGTTCTGGTCTTTACATAATATACCTATTAGTAGTACGGGTAATATATGTATATATATATATATAGATAGATAGATAGATAGATACATAGATAGTTGTATTTGCATATGATTGAAAGATTTGTAAGCATATAAACATTAGTTTCCCACCAGAAATAGGGATTGGGTTCAGTGTCGACACGATTTAGGAGGATCGTTGAGGCTGCCCCGTGCACCAGATCACCTTTGAGGTAGCAGCTTTGCGGCGTTTTCAGGTTTTGGAGATTAGGATTTCGGATTTTGGCGGTGTAGGGTTTAGGATTTAGGGTTTTGGGCTTTAGGTGGGTTCAAGACCTGGGTTTTCGTGATTTTTGATTTCTAAACCCTCAGGCAGGCATGCTCATACTCAAACCCCTTGAGCCCTAAACAAGCCCGCAATCCCAAGAGCCCGCTCCCTGTCCATCTTCCACATGCTGAGGCTTATGGAATTCGTTTGATTTTGGGTGATGGGGTTCTGGATTTAGGGCTTTGAGGTTTAAGGCGCCTAGCCACGACTGAACTTACAGCTTCGTTCTAACCTGGGTACTTGAGTGATTTCAATTATACATGAGGGAGCTCTGGGATTTCGGGCTGCGAGGAGGCAAAGGACTTTGAAGCCCTAAACCCCAAGCCCTAAACCCTTCGGTTGTCGGAAGCCCGACCCATGAACCAACACAGCCGGCTCAAACGCTTCAGCCCTAAGCCCCGAAGCACATACTCCTCCCTAAACCCTTCACCCCGAACCCCTATACCCTAAACCCTAAACTGTAATTACAGTCTATGGCACCTGCCGGAGGGTGTCGAAGGGGCTTAGTTTAGCTCAAACACCTGAGGCTTGGGAGGCCTTCTAAGTTTCAAGCTGCTGAGCCTAGCGCTTTAGGGTTTAAAGGTTTAGGGTTTAGGGGTTGAGGGTTTTGGCTATAACTGCAACATAAACAAAAAATCAATAAACGAGAATCTGTGATAGGTGGCCGGCACCTACGGCACGCAGGGGGCCCAGGATGAGGGTCAACCGATTTTCGTTTGATATAGAAGCATGAATTCCCAGCAACTTAGGAATACTATTCCGAATATTCCGTTTGGGTTCCTTTTTACAGTTATCGTATTCAGTACAATATACCCCCCCCCCCCCAAACTGTGCTCTCATACTGAAGGCCCCCATGTTATCATGATACCGGGCAGGTGCTTGAAGCTTTTGGGATTTGGGTTTCTTCAGAGTCTAAGCACTCGGGGCGTAGATGTTGCCATATACATATATATATATATATATGAGTAAGATGTAAGATACATCGGTCTCTGTGGTACGGTTTCTGAGTTTGACGAAACGGTGAGCAAGCTCCTCCTCCTCCCGAAAAGGTCCGGCACGGACGCGAATTTGCTGGACAACCCCACAGCACTTTTCCTCGATGCACCTCGACACCGCCTTTACGTCGCAGATGCAAGGACGCTGGGGTGCTGGCTTCGAGCTGCACAGTGGTGCAGTAGACCGATACAATCTGCCGGATTTTTGATGTTTGCACAAGAGGATTCGGGGAGCCATGTGAGGCCACGTCTTGTGGAAGATACAGCAATACAAAGTCCTCCAGAACTTATTAATACTATTGTGGATGTTCCTCATTATAAGTATAGTATACAATCCCAAAACCCTGTTCTAATTCTTAAGGCCTCTATATATTATAGACTGTCTCAAGCGTCCGGATTCAGAGCTTAGCTCCTCTTTCCAGGAACAACCGAGTGATGCTGTGGCTGCTGACTCCGTACCTTCTCGATAGCGAGGGCATCACCGCGAGGCGGGCACACGGGTCGATCCAACTTCGGTGCAACTGCACGCCAGTCTAAACCCTGGAAGCCTAGCACACTCTTCTTCAGAAGTCGTTACACTGGGATCATGCACGATCTGTATCTAATATCGCGAAGAAGGAGGTTGCGGATTGCCCAGCTATCTGCCAGACCCTACCTGAAGCCAAAACCTTCAAAACCTGAACTCCTGAGCACTAAAGCCTTAAAGCTTGAGCCCTTAGAGCGCACTCCCATGATCCGCAACAGTTTGCAGCTACAACAGGCGGCTGTCATCAATAGACTCAGACACGGACGGCAATGAAACAGGCAAGGACTTTGAGTGGGCCCTTGGGTTCATAGGGTCCTTTGTTTAAGGATTCTTAGTTTAGGGTTGATTGTTTAGTGCTTTTGTTATGTTGCGTCATGGGTTCTTTTTGCAGGGATCTCCCAAACATGTATTGTTTGCTTACCTTCTGAGGGGAGCAGAGAGGATGGAGGCTTCGACATATAGCCTAAACCGTTGCCTGAAGGACGCAATGAACCCCAAAAGGGTCTGAGCTCGAATTGCCATCTAGAGTTTCATACTACAGTACAGTCAATACAGGGATGCAAGGCCCTTGCTTTCACGTGGCCCCCAAGGTATAGAATTGCCTTTTTGTGGAGTTTAAGGAGCAGGAAGGTCGTTATTTTTAGGGGTGTAGGGTTCAGGGGTCAAGACCCTAGCCCTAAACCCTCAAACCCGAAACCCTTAAACCCTAAACCCTTAAACCCTAAACCCTAGACTTTTGGTGCGTTTTACTCCGGTTTTTTCGGCTCGGACGGGTAAGTCGGACTTGAGGCCTTGGGATGTTGGTCTCCAAAGTCACAGAAGCCCTGAACCATGGGTGCCTGCTATAGGATCCTTAAAGGGTTCCAAAAAAGGCATCCTTTAAGGGTTCCTTCAAAGGGATCTATTGGGCTGAGGATACTTTTGCGGCTTAAATAATTACCAAAAGTATTTGTGGGGTTCCGTATTATAAGTACAGTATAATGGTTCCCAAAACCCTATTCTAATTAAGGCCCCTATATTAAGATTATTAGACCCAAGTCCGAAACTCGGCCGGGGATGGAATGAAGCCCTGACCTCCAAATGCCTTACCCTACTTGGAGGCCCTTTTGACTTAGTAAGTAGGGTTAGTAAGGTGGGTTATGGGGTTTCTAATAGGGTTTCTAGGGGATCCTAAGTAGACTTACTAAGTCAAAAGGGCCTCCAAGTAGACCCAGCTAGCGGCCTATCGTTAACCCAACGTTCCAGGGCTGAGGTCATTCGGGCTTTTGGTTGAGGGTTTTGGGTACAGGGCCCCTGGGTCAGGGCTCGTCGAGGTGTTAAGTCACAAAAAAATTTCGCATAAGTATATAGCTACCCTGATTTATAACTCTAGGTACTAAGTCCCATGATCCTTTAAGTAAACCCTGAGCCCTCCCTTATAGAACCCTTATAGATCCCTTTTAAGGAACCCTTTCAGAAGCCTTTTTTACTTCCTACATCCCATGCTCCTTTAAGTACCCGACAGCCCCAGCGATCCGATCTAGTGGGCGCAGGCAACACAACAACGAGCATCACAGGCCGAGTTTTGGGGTTCAGGGTTTAGGGTTTAGGGCGAGTTCCTTGCGTCTTCGTGGCTAGTTCTCTAAAGGCTATATGTTTATTTCGCAAGTTCCCGGAGGATGACGCAGTCGGACAACTACAGAGCGATTCCCCTTCAAAGTCGCCCAAGAGAGTGACCGTGAGATGCCGTGTCACTGGGAAAACAGTCTGGTCCTTGGCCGACGAGAATGAAGACAGCTTAATTTAAGAATTAATGTAAGAATCTGATTAAGAAATCTTGGGCCTTTACAAGGGTTCCTTGTATGAATTCTAATATTTTAGGGGTTATAGGCCCAGGGTTCCTTAATCAGGTTCCTACATTACTGGAGTTGTCCAACGGGGTCGTGCCCTGGGCTGCTACAGCGATCCAAGTCTGCTTGAAGTTTCACGGCCCAGCTACACACTTCGCTTGCCGCAGTTGTTGTCCAGGAGGCTGGAATCGAAACCGTCGCTACTGGCTCCGGGCCTCCGGTGTATCGCCCATGAAAAGTTGAAGGACATAGCCCATCAGAGAAGGGCGGGGTCCTTCATTGGGTGAGAGTGGGAGCTTCCTTAAGTTGGAATTTGATATCCGTCCGTCACAGCTTCATAAATGCCGTACTATTTTTGGACCCACCATAATGTAGAGTACCCTCGTAGTCGACCAAGCAACCTTTGACATCTTGATTGTTTTTTGGTGTAGTTAGTGCAGGCAACCCTAAACCGCAAACCCTGGACTCTAAACATCCGACAGACTTAACTTGGGATCCCCATTAGAAACAGGACAAACGAAGGCGAAAGGAGAGTCAACCCTAAACACCAAACCTCTCAACCTTAGCGCTCTGGACCCTAAGCCCTTCAACCCAGAATCCCAAACTCTCAACGCTTAAGTAGGGCTCATCACGCTTTGGGTTTAAGGTAGGCTCATCCTTGGCCGAGGGTATTTCTTGAGAATGTGGGGAGGGGGGAGGCGGGTCAGGATGCACACATCCTACAAGGGTTTTAAAGCGGTTGTCATGCGGGTCTTGTTTCTATGGGTGTCTCAACCTAGGGATACTGTCATTTAGGAGTTCTTGTAAGAGTTCTCCTTCCTATATGAGGTCTGTACAGGCGTCCATGTTTCCCTGAAGCTCCGATATGCCAATCGCTGAGATTTCGAAGCCATGCACTCTCGTTTTGCTTCTTCCTGAAACGTTCCTCGCTGCTGTTTGACGAATTAGGCCGTGGTAACATCACATTACGTTAAAGACCTGAGGCCCTGAATCCTAATTTTTTTCTTCGCACGCTTTCAGAAACCAAATAGTTGATCCTTTTTAGACCCCGTATAGTAAGTGTATGTAGATCATGTAGAACTAGATGCAATGCCCGTATAGGACTCGCAGGTTCTAAGCTTCAAATTCAACCCGATCTACCAGCAACTTAAGCCCCAAGAAACCCGAAACCTGAAAACCAAAAGCCTAAACCCCGAAACCCAAATCCTGCTCAATGCCACGTGCCAGAAACTACGACCTCAACTGCAACAACCTCGTCTACATACACTTCCACGATCTCTTCCACAAGAACGACCTCAACCACCACCTCGACGACGTCCACGATGTATGAAGGCACGCGGAGAAGAGATTCGGGTTTGGGGGTTAGAGCTTTTCGGGTGTATGGAGCTTTGTTTAGGGTTTAGGGTGCTTACTGTGGGCCTAGAAGGTAAAGTTTATAATGGAGATTCCCGAAACCCTGTGTGTTTCGGTAGTGTCAGGTTACTGCCTGGGAAAGGCCGTAGTGTTTCGGTGCTGCGAGTTTGTTTGTTCCTTATGTTGTGCCACGGTTTGCTGGTACAGTAAGTTGAGAAGGGCATTCCATTGATTCGCATGTCTGCAAGACTTGAAAGCGCATGAAGTTTGCAAGCAAGCCCGCGTATGCAGTTCGTGCCTAAACTCAACATCCGAAAGTCTGCATAGTCCCTTAGCCCTTGTTCCCCAAGCACTTCGATATCCCCGAACCCCTAAGCATCACCAAACTGAAGCACCGGACTCCCCCAAAAGGACCGCGATATCAGCTTTACATCACGGGCCTAGTGGGACGCCCCTACGGCCTCTTTTCGCAAGATGACGCCTGGAGTGCAGATGAGGTGTTCCTGCCATGCGCATATGAGACACTACATCAATGTTGAGGGGCTAGGGTTTGGGGTTTTTGAGGGTTTAGGGTTTTAGGGATTTAGAGTTTAGGGTTACCAAGGGCTGACTATACAGTTGGAGGAGTTCCTGGTCCGTGTGAGCGCTTTTAGCAGGGTCTTGGAGCCATCGGGGTTCATCCGTTCAGACCCTTGCATCTGCAGTCCTCGCGTTCCGTGTTGCTCGAAGCGGTCGCGTTCCGCGTTTACTCACAGCAGTCCGCGCTTCGCTTGCCAAATACCCTCATAATTCAGGAATATACCCTAAGCCATATTGGGGATCCTAGTATAGTTTAAGGTAGATTCCTTAACTCTAAGGGATATTGGAAGGTCTAGGTGCGTCTCTGCCACAGTGACAGCTTAGGATGCGCTGTATGTGTCGGATGCAGATGGCTGCCTGCATGCAGTTGGCCAGGAGGATTTCAGGTCAGGTGTGTGCACGTCGCAGGTGTATATCCCTAAGGGTCCAAGTACGCAAATATTAGGGTTTCAAGGTTCAACATCCATTCAGAGTATGGATTTTGGGCCCTAAAGCCCGACTATTTGGGTACTTGGACCCTCTGGGTATAGGTCTCCAGTGTTGCTTTGAAGATGCTACTTCCCAGGCAAACAGCATGAGAAATGTCAATTAGTCGGCTTCCCACTTCTTGGCTGTTGAAGCCTTCTGACAGCTGCTAAATCATCAATTTACTTGGTTGTGCTTTGGGATATTTTTTAATTTCCCTTATTTCCTTATAAAGAGAACCTATTCATAAATAATTTTCAAAGGGTTTAAAGCACAACCCAGCTTAACTCTTGCCAGCCCAAGCCTTCTGAACTCGCTCTAAAAGAAGAAAAGCACTCGGAACCGGTGAAGCCTTAGGCCTTTGACAAAAAGCTCCGAACCTTGGATTCCACCCCAGTTGGGCCTGTTAATCCTTTAATTTCGGTGTCTTGCCCTGGGGCCCTAAACCGTAAACCGCCCTAGCCGATGCAGTTTTATAAAACAAGCCTAAACCCTAATCCCTAGGCTGCAGCTGCACCCCCAAGTAAGAGAACCCCCGAGGCTGCACCATTTGGAAGAAGCTCCAAACCGGCGAGGTAGCAGTTGTGGCAGGCACGGCAGACCTAGCTTACTTAAAGGATCATGGGACTTAGTAAGTAGGTTATAATTGGGGTTATAAGTCTCCTAAGTGGGGTTATCCTAATTAAAGCCTACTTATAACCTTACTTACTTATCCCATGATCCTTTAAGTAGGGTTTAGGGTTCGGGGCTTCAGGGGTTAGGGTTTCGGAGCCTTACTAAATGGCAGGGTACAAGGAAGTAATTTTGCAAATTATTCAGACCCCCACGATTTGTCTAACATGAGCCAACATGAACCGAATCATTACATCGAAGTGGCCTTTGTCCCCAGATTTCCATAATTGCATCATACTCCTCGTTGCAAACTGTAGTCTCTAGAGGTTTTTATTGCTTTGGGCCGTGTCCGGCATTGGGACTGGTGCTGTCATCGTGGACCATAAGGCCTAAAGTGTTGGGTTTTCGGTTCTCGGATTCTTGTGGAAACTGCAGGGAGTCTCATGCAGGAAGCAGACCTTCGTGTGTCGTTCCCACACGGGATGGCCAGTTTCCTGGTTTGGGGACTTGCATCTTAGTTCCCCAATACCCAACCTGTAATTTCTTTTTAGCTTCTTATAGTTTAGTAGTAATTAACGGGAAGTTTACCCTTTCTGTGGCCTATTGCGGAAGTAAGTCATGGGGATGTTCAACTAAGTCAGCTTTGAGAGCACTGCTTATCTCCAGCTAAAGAACCAAAAGGTCTGCGCAAGTGCATCTTCAGACCAACTGCGATCTGCATCTTGCCATCAATCGTGCATCGCGGGGTTTAGGACATGAGGGCCATGTAGGGGATTGTTGTGTTTTGTTTTTTACAGTGTTGGGTTTCAGGGTTCCGGGTTTGGGCAAGGTTTGGGCTTTACGGGTCTACTTAGGGTCTACCTAAAGGATCACGGGACTTAGTACCTGGGGTTATAAAGAAAGATAACCCTACTTATAATAACTTATATCGCCAATTAAGGTACTTACGACCTTTTCTGACTAAGTCCCATGATCCTCCAAGTAGACCCTAAACCCTAAACCCCATAGATCCCTTTAAGGATCCCTATAGATCCCTTTAAGGAAACTTTAAGGAGCCCTTTAAGAACCCTTACTAAGTCCCATGATCCTCCAAGTACGGTATCACTGAAGCGCTGCTCCTCGTGCCAGGAGGATCTTGCGGAGGATCCCTGGCGCAAGTCTACTTCCCCGCTGGCATCCTTGTGCTATGCCTGAATAGACAGAAGACACAGGAGTAGACTCAAAAGAGGGCTTCAGGTTTCTTGAAGGATTTTGGAAGACTGCCACAATAGCTACACATAAAATGGCAATTGCTATAAACGTGTTGAGAGATGGGGTTGAGAGTCTGGGGCTTTCTTAGCACTTATTGCTACACTAGTGTTGACAGTTTCGTACGACACGTTGGGTGGCTGTGGGCTGGCTTACATTCGCAGAGGCTCCATATATAGTACCACTATGGAATTAGGTCCCAAAGGACCATCAATAGCGTGGCTTTGGGCACTTAATTCCATAATGGTACTAAAACCCTAAACGCCACGAGTGCTACAGCATTCGCCCTTTCCCGGCAAGACTTCAAGAAACCCTAAACCCGATATATGGAGACTCTAGGATTGCTTTCAGTTGTTGGCTTGCCAAACGTAGGTCGAGGATTCAGGGGTCTTTGTGACCTAATGTGGGAGTTTCCGAAAATTAGGGGTACCTTAGTTGCGGGTCCTTCTAACAAGCATCCTACTATTCAGGGTACTATATTCGGGTCCCCTATTTTCGGAAACTCCCATGTAGACTCCCTGATTTAATTATAAGCCTCCCTTATAATAACAAACATACAAACAGTTCTAATATGGATGCTAATGTTACGGACCTTAAAGACAGGGGGGGCAATCTTGTAATCAGGGTCCGCATTCTTAGACTCTTAGACTTGGGCACTTCGCATCGCCTGTGTCATCTTAGTAGATGTAGGCAATGCCTAAATTGGGTCAGTTACACAGATGGGCTACCCAACTCCTAAACCCTGCGAAGCTCTTTCGTTTTCATGTGGTACTAGTAGGCCGCGGGCTTGAAAGGGATTGTCAGCAAAAGTACGCTCATTACCGAAACTCCACGTTGACTGTTGCAGGCTTAGTACCTCCAAGAGTGATTGACATGCACTTCAGTTTACATCGGGCACCCGTTCTCAGGAGTTCTCCCTCCGATCGAAACTTTTATTATTAGCTCTCAAATACCCCTTGACTCGAAACCCTCCGTGGCACGTGTCCTGAACTCCAAGCCCTAAACTGCTGGATCTTGGGTTAATGACTCCAGTTTCTGCACGCACAGAACTTCCAGGTGGAACGCGGCGGCGCGATCGTCGTTGCAGACAGCCGCAACAACCGCATTCTGCGATTTGGCCCCGCCCTCACTTGCCTATGCCGGGATGAGAACACGAGAAGATGGGGCTGATAACAACGAAGATGTCAAGATGCATTCTTAGGGGTATTTAGAAATAATCGTTGATTTTTTGTGTTAATAATCCCTAAGAAACAGCTAAAATGACAATTTGTGCTAGGGTTCTAAGTTCAGTATAGCATTGACGATGCTGCTGACAATGATTACTGTTCATGTTGATCGTATTGATTTTGACCGTGAACATGGTGGTGATGTGGATGGCTCGGGGTTACGGGTAAAGCCCGGCAACGCATCCCACTTCTTCAGACAACCACTCATACTCCTAGCAGAAACCTCATATGGGGTCCTTCGATTAGGTTTTCCACTCCTTTTGGGAACCCGTCGTTTCTGAAACTTGTCTTGGGAGCCCTCAACCATAAATCACTTCACCAGTTGCACCGAACCATGAGGCCCCCAAGCCCTGAATGCCAAGCTCAAAAAGCGCGGTCACCCGAAACTCTAAACCCTAACTTTAAATCCCAAACCCGAAGCCTTGAACCCTAAACCCTAAATCCCAAAGCCAAAGCCCTGAACCTCAAACCCCCTAGTAGTAATTAGAGTAGGGAACCTTTACTGTAGCCGTTTTTGGGTAGTATAGTTTCTTTCTCATCCCTATATAACCAAAAAGGTTAACCTTTAGTTCCCCATGATACCCGACAAGTAGGAGCAGTGGCAAAAGGGCATGAGGGTTCAAAAACAATAACCTAAATCCCAAACCCAAAGCGCTAATCCCTAAACCCTAATCCCTAAAGCCTAATCCCTAAAGCCTAATCCCTAAACCCTAATCCCTAAACCCTAGACCTTAAACCCTAAACCTAAAACCCTAAGCCCTGAACCCTAAACCCTGAACCCTAAACCCTAAACCCTCCAAGTAAACCCTAGACCTTAAACCCTCTCTTATGCCCAGGGCCAGAGCCGGACTCGGTCAGTGACAAGTGCACTCTCGGGGGCCTTTGCCAACTCACGCTCCGCAACGGCCTACCCACCCCGAGGCCGGCTTAGGGGTTTAGGGTTTAGGGTTTAGGATTTACCATAATGAAAGCCACCAAACCCTACTTTTTTGTAGGTCCTTATTATAAACCTAATATGGAAAATATAGGGGCTCTATAGTAGGTTGCAGAATAAGGAGCTACAAAGAGGTGGGTTATAGTAGTTCAGGGTGAACCGAAAAAACGAATAACAATGGAGACCTTTGGTGGCGCATCAGGGTTTAGAAGATAGGGGGGGTTAGAGTCTGGCGATTTCAAAGCCCGTCTTCAGGCTTGTGGGGTCTGTGATTCAGGGCTCCGGAATGGTCCGTTGGTGATGTACGGCTGACTTAGATGTCAAATGTCTTGGTTCTGGTGACGGTCTACCCAGGGGCCCCAAAGTAGTTCCTTTTTGGGAGTGTCCTCTTTTTTGGTTAGGGACTCTACTATACTACCTAAAAAGGAACTACTTTGGGGCCCCTGGGTAAAGCCTAAAGAGTCGTAAAGCTTGT